ACCCCGGGTTCAGATGAGCGGGGCTGAGCCTCTTCAATTTCTTGCGGCCTGTTTTCGCTGCTGGGATTTGCTACATCCATTCGCATCCATCTTTCGCAGCCCCTGATCGTAGTTGCCATTTTTTCTGCCAAAGCCTTGTTGCTTGAAATCCCGGATTAGCGATTATGGCTTTGGTGGGTGTAGGGGTTGAGTTCCAAGTTCAACGGACTCTTTGGATCTTGAGGTACGCATCTTAGCCGTAAGCCTAAACATGGTTGGCTCCACATGTGGCCCTGGAACGCATAGATCGCTGAAAAGAATCTTTGAAACAAGAGGGTGGGGGCTCAACTTCTTAATTCGGTTCAGGGATGAGAGCCTAAGCCTTAGATTTGAAAGGAGAAGATCCGTTTTTATATATCTCTCGGGACAAGAGGCTGGATTTCTGAGATCCTTCTGGCTGAATAACCAGTCCCCAAGGGCTACTTTGAGAAATTTCAGGACAAGCCTCAGGATACCCTTGATGTCTTATTGCGTGTTCCATAAACGAGTGGTTTCATTAGTTGGAAGCTCCACAACCAGTGACTTCTTAAGCAGCGCCGCCACGGTAACTGGTATGTGAGCCTTTGGACCCCACTGTTGGACATGACCACTTGCCCTTTGAAGGCTACATGACCTCTCATCATGTAGGTGTTTATTCCTTCCCGAATCAGGGTTTCAGGCGGTTCCCTTAAACACACATTGACAAGCGTTTCAAGCGGGGGGAAGGTTTCATGGGCATGGAGTTTTCCTGAATGGCATGACGCGCTGCAGTTGCCCATGTACTCTAACTGCTGCTGCAAGATGCAGCCTCCTTCAACAGGTAGCAACAGTCACTTGCTGCTTGTTGTCGATCTTTCGGGCGTAGAGGCTCATAGAGGGCTTTCTTAGCGCAGCTCAGTAGCCTAAAGTTATCTCAATAACCATGTGCACATGCTCTCTTCCCCTGCACCCACCTCCCCTGCTTGAAAGTGCTTCGCTGTTGTGCCTTTACTTGACGAAGTTCTTCTTGATTGGCACGCCTCTTTTTGGACGAATGGCACTATGCCTATGCATAGGCTAGGTCGTTCAGATTACGGTGCTTATATTCTCCCACTAGAATGCAGCCCCCCAAAAATTAGCATGATGTTGACCATCCCCGCCCTGTCCCCATATAGTGATCTCCTGGCTCAGGCGCTAAAGCAGTTGAATTCCGCCGACCTCAGCTGGATCGAAGGCTCTTTATACATGAGTTGTGCATCATGGTGTGCAAAATGAGGAGGTAAAGACTAAAATCGCGGGCCCATGTCTATATAGCAAGTACTAAGATAGGCCAGGTCTCGGCAGATCTACAGATCATTGCAGAGCGGTGTGAAGCATTCGAGCGAGAGCGAGACAGAGAGAGAGAGAGAGAGCCTTCTCCATAGCGTGAATGAAAGAAAGAAAGAGAGAGAGGAGAGAAAGAGAGAGACCAACATGTATGGAGAAATGCACATCAATAGAACATGTCAGAAGGCAAGGAACGTAAGCCTTGAACCCGGAGCCCGGAACCTTTACGTTACACTACGCCCTGAACCTTAAATCAACCCTCAACTAAAAGTTTAAACAATGTTTGCAGCAATCCTCTCAGACGGGCTTATTTCATCTTATTTCCACGTAAACAAGGTTGAGATGCGGGTTCGGCTGGCTTGTATTAGGGCAAATGGCGAATCAAACGGAGAAGCAAATGGAAATGGAACATTTTTACAGGGCTGAAAGTTGATTTGATGTTTGTTCTTAGGAAACCAGGACTTAAAAGGAAATGGAATACTTATTGCAGGCCATATACGGGCTACTATTAGGATCCGCTCTTGCATTTGCATTCCCTAATCACTAACAACCAGTAAGTATGGAGGTCTGCAGACCCTGTTCGCTTCTGGATATGAAATGGCAGTCGAGATATTGCCAAGCGTAGCAGGATAGGATCTTCAAACAGTCTGGCTTCTGCATCAGTCTCCCCCAGCGCTTCAGGTTTGCAAAGCAAGTAGAGCAGTTCGCAAGTCTCCCCGTAACTACCACAGGACTTGCAGCAGCACTTGTGGCAAGCAGCATGCAATACCTGCAGACGCATCCCGAACAGCTTACGTCCGCTCAATGTGCTTGGAAGTGGCTTTCTGAAAGTGATCAAGGCCCTGAACTTGGGATCTCGGGCCCAGAAGCTCTATAGAACACCCACAAACCCCTATACAATCCCTATATAGCCTGGAAATATTCCCCATATACTCCCAATGACAGCCTGGAGGTTTATCGAGTTATCAGCTGCCACACAAGCAATCCAAAGCCTTGCGGCGAAAGAATCGGCGGCTGGTGATTCGGTGCTTGAGGAGGCGGGGTCCGGCTTCAGCAACAACGATAAGAAGAATAACAGAAGCAATGATATAAATAATACTAACAGTAGTAGTAGTAGTCGTCCTCCTCCTCTTCCTGGTCCTCGTCGTCCTCGTTGTCATCGTCGTCAGTAGTAGTCGTAGTCATCGTCGTAGTCGTCCTTGTCGTTGTCGTCGTCGTCGCCGTGGTCGTCGGTGGTAGCAGCAGCAGTAGTAGTAGTAGTAGTAGTAGCAGCAGTAGTAGCAGTAGTAGCAGCAGCAGTAGTAGGAGTAGAATCTGAGTAGAAGTAGGCAAGTAGAGGTAAGGTCTTTAGACGGTATATCAAAGCCGGGTACTTGCTGCATTAAGATGGTTACCCGGCCCACATCAATGTATGATCATGAAACTCGGAACTCCAAATACTTGAAGCCCTAAAGCCCACGTCCTTCAACCCTTCAAGCTTTAACAAATCAACCCTGAAGCTCTGAGCCGCGCAGCCAGTGCGACTATGATGCGACGCCCAGAAATCGTTTGGCTCCTGCAGAAATACTTATGCAGATTCCGAAGACTTCTTTATAAGCTTACCGCTTTCGAAAAAAGATGTGCCTCTGTTCGGCAGCCCCTTCAACTGCCGTGCCTGGGGTAAAGAAGGGAACCCCTACCCCAAACGACAAACCCTGAGCACTAAACTTCATTGTACACCCCTTAAACCCTGAACCCCATGAATCCCATCCCCAACCCTCAGGTGCTCCGCACAGGTGATGCAAACGACCTGCTGCTCTTGGGACATTCTTTTGGAGCCGCAGGCGGCTGGAGATAGAAGGGGTGCAGGGAGGTGAGGACTGCAGAGCTCTGGTCTTGGAGAGGAGGGGTGAAGGGGAGAGACTTATGGTTCTAGGGTCCTAGGGCTGAGCGTTTTAGGGAAAATGTGGTTGGATTCAAGCAGGGTTCCTGTCCAACCGAAAGACAATTGTTAACTTTTTGGGTGGCATGTTCACTGTCACTTCCATTATCCTAGGTATTGCTGTTGAGGACCGGGGCTTCATAACACCAAAGGAGGCGACACGCGTATGGCTGAAAACCTACTGGGATTAGCTGCCTTTGTGCGGTCCCGGGGACATGTAAGCTCATCAGCTTGAGAACAAACAGCCATGTGAAGATCTGATGGCTACAGCAGCTTCGAGAACAGTGGCGCCCAAGAGCTATGTCCAGAATGATGATGCAGGGGAGGTCCCAAGGACATGATGGATGCAGCCAGAAACCCTCAATCGATTTGACTCACGGATAACATGCCTTCCGTAAGCCATGTAAGCAGATGTGTTAAATATGTTTTGTGTATGTCTTGCATCCTCAGCAGGGACAGCATCTTCTGCCATGGCTGTTCTCAGGCGCCATGAGCTACCTGAAAGCCCTGCAAGACCAGGGCAAACCATGCCCGTACTGTCCTCTGGCTGGTGTTCAGAACTGCTCAAGCAGAACTTTCTCAAGGATGTCGGGGTCGTAGGGGATGTTCGTGGGAGAGTCCAACTGAAAAAGGTCGGACGTTGTTGCTGAAAGTCGCAAGAAGAGATTGCTGCCTGCCCGAGCCTGTAGAGCCAGGTTTGGCTCCAGCACCGCAAAACTTCCTAGTTGTTCAAAACTCTGGTAGCTTCTGGTTGTTTCATCTTCCTGTATCAGCCTATTTCGGCCATATTTGGCCATTGACATCTAATGCTCTATGCCAAGCTACAGGGGAGCAGACTTGTTGACTTGTTCCCGCTCGGCTCGTGATTCTGAGCCATGCCACAAGAAGCCTACACGCTACATTGTGACTACTCCTCAAACTCAAAACCCTACATCCAGAGGCCTGAGACGCTGAAGCCCACAGCTCAAATCCTGAAGTGAATACTCAAAGCGTCAGCCACCACTCTAAACAAGAAGGTCTCAATTTCTGATTAATTGTACCACTTTGACTGACGTCTCTACCCAAACTTCATGACCAAATCCGCGCCCTTGACCCCAACCCTAAACTGGAAAACATAAGGCCAGACTCCGAAAGCCTAAACTTTTGCTCGGATTTAGCGGGTAAAGCCGTCCTATAACCACGGAAGTCCCGAGAAACGTGTCCCCAAGTCACTTACGCAGTTCTCCGACTGTGCGTAGCTCAGGTGCCTTCATGATGCTGGATTTGTGGACGGAAGCTTGCCAAAAATTGGCATTGAGAGACCGGAATTTGCTTTGCGGCCAGGCAAGGAGCAGAAAGAGAAGCCTTTTGAGAAGGCTGGGCAAGGCCGCGTGCTGAAACGCTTGCTGCCGTAGCCTGGCAAGCAGCACGGGCCTTGGCGTTCCAGATTAGGGACGTCAAGTTAAGATTTTCTCGAGTCCTTTCTCTTCGGCTGAGGCTGAAGACGAACTCGTTCAAATCTGCTCTAAGTTTGTACATGCTGCCTTGGTTTGAAGTTGGCAGCAACATTCTTTCACAATTCTCACCGGAAAGACATCTGCTGGGCAAATCCGACTTGCCGCGAACGCATGTAAAGATTCCATGTTGCAAGCTGAATGTCACAACGCCGCCATAGGCTGGTGGCACATCAATATGTTGCTATACTCTGGCAACGCACATGTCCACTGCGTAAGCTTTACTGCTACTGCTGGCAGTTTCCACAACATTTATCAGTTGCATGGCTGTTTGTGGCGACATTGCGCCCTTCCGTCATCCCACACGTAAGGAATCGCTGCGACTGGAGGAGCTCTCCTTTAAGCCTCAGATTCCTGTAGCACTGATGGCACCTGAGCAGGATTTAGAAGATGGTTGTGGGCATTGGGCCGGAATTTGTACAGGATTTGTATCTTGAGGATTTTGGGCTTATCGGCAGCCTCTCAAATCAGTCCCTGGTCTCAGGATAATCCTTAATCAGGACCATTGTGGTCCTTTTGCAATCCCTAAACATCCCTAGGGTCCTTACTTCAACATGTGGTGCCATAAGGCATTGCAGGTTCATTTTCGGTCGCAACACTCATCATGAACGTGTTTGTACTAGATGGAGCTTCTTTGGGGGTTCAACAGTTGATAGGGGTCCAAAACCTAGGATTTAGGGTTTGGCATCTTGCATCAACGTGTTTGAGGTGTTACTCATGCCCCGCGCCCCCTGGAAGCATTGCCCAAGCTGCAAAATCAATTAGCCTCTGTAAACCCAGGGGGCATTTCATGTTCTATTGTCTTTTTTTAGTGTCTTTTCCATTGCATGTTCATTATTACCTTGGCGCTAAACCCTGCATCTCCCGCGAAACCGTCCAATAAGCGTATACATACATATACATATACAGATACAGATTTGTTAGCTCCTCTAAGGGTGCCCAGTTTATTTTCAATTTCGTTTTCCACATCACTGAACCCTTTTTCCTCTGCGCCTTGTGTGAGGGTTGGCCGCTGGACGCTTACAGAAAGCCAATAAGTGTTGGTGGCTTGTAAGCTTTCAGCTGGGTGGCGTGTGGGGTCGAGCTGTGGATAGCTTAGTGGTTGCAGTTTGGGGTCTCTAGTTCAGGCATGAACTTGGAGGTTTCTTTGGTGGAATTGTTTTTGGACTTGTGCTGGCTTGATGGCTTCCGGGCACGTCCACGTGGAATCATACAACAACACCCTACTGCAGACAAGTGCAATAGGAGTTTCTCAAATCTACGGCTGCTTTTGTACCACAGAGGAACAGGTTCCGTATTCATTCAGGAAGCCTGTGCCTGCGACGAACATGTCATGACAACTTCATCGCGGTATTCATGCATCTAAGTACTGCCACTGCAGCTGCGTCTATAGTCTAGAGCTGGAGGTTTCTGGAGAGTGGCATGGCTACCCTTTGATTATGCGCAACACCCGGAAGGCCGGGGCAAACCATGGATTTAGAATTCAAGATTTGGATGCTACATAATATCTGGGATGTTAGGCTGGAATAGAGGTCACATCTGGCTTGATGTTTAGATACCAGGGCTTGACAACAGATGTTGGGTTCCTTTTAGGGTCCTCATTCTCCAAACAGAGTGTAAACAGTGTCCACTATAGGAGATTCTTGGGTTCAGAGTCAGGGAAAAGGGTTGCTGTAGCTGTGCGGTGCGCGTGGTCAAGGCACAGTTTGGCTTGAAATCACCTTTGCCACATGTTTGGTAGGTCAGGGCATCGTTGGACGTCGCTCCCATGTGGAGTGTCCTCAATGCTCCTCATGAACTGCAGAACTCACATCTCCCTTGGAGGCTCAGTTTCGCGATCCGAGTATCTCTGGATGCTTGTGCACGATTCCATGGCTCTCGCGTGGAGTCTCCTCACATTTTGCAGTGCTCGCGCTTAGAGTTTAGAGTGTTCTTGGAATGCCCTTGGAGTTCTCTCAGCGTACTGAAGGGGTGGACTGCGCTTGCAGTGCTTTTGGCAGGTCCTGGAGCGCGTTGGTAGTGCTCTTAGGTGTTCTCGGGGAGCTGGTGGAGCTCTTTGAGTGCTCTCACAGCTCACAGAGCTCGTGGTAGTTGACAACGTTGGGGGCATACGTCGGCAGAACACAATAAGGATGACATTCTTAAGGCGGATGGATAGGGGACCTTTTTTTTTCGCGAGGTATGATTTCATACCAGTCTTCAAAGACAGGTACCAGCCGGAATTACAAGCATAGTTGCGATGCCCATGAAACTTGTCTCGTGCTCAGCAGTAGTCCCGAGGAGGCGGTGGCGACAATAGCAGTTAGCATCAGTTGAGGAAGAAGTAGCAGGAGGGTCGGAGAGCAGCTGCTACTGTAGCTTGTTGGACTCTCAGCGAGCCCTGGCCTTTGGAGGTTCGACGAGCTGCGGGGACGCAATGCCTAGCAGCAGTTCACATCCCTGGTTCTGTGTGCACAGACAGCATTTCTCAAGTCGTTATGAGGTAGTGCTCTGCTACCGCAGGGTGTGAGGCTGAGAGGTGATGGCGATTCAGGGTTTGAGGGTGAACTACCACGGTCTAGCCTAGCGATCGCAGGTGGGCGGGGGAGTTGAGGCTTCTTGTTGACAACGCAGAAGCTGACTTGGCCTCCTTCAAACTTAGGGAAGGGGTTCTCAATCGTTTTCGGGTGCTGAGCTCAGAATCGCAAGCATGCATTTAGGAACTAGTACTTGACGAACCCCCTTCCGTACAGAAGCCTTGCGCTTTGTACACGAAGCACCCACGAAAAAAGAGCAGACATGTGTATGGAGGTTTCAAAAATCAAGCGGCTAACATATTATCTTTCTTGTGAAAGGGAATACCAAAAATGGGCCCCGTTGTTTGGAAACCGTAATCCTTCTATTTGTCCATGTTCTGTTCCGATTTTCCATTGCTTTTCCATTAGGTTCTGCATTACAGGGCTATATTACCCCGGTAGCTTCCATTTCATTGTCCATTTCCTTTTCCGTTTGACTCCTCCGTTAGTGTGAAACTATCCCATATACTGCCAGGTAGGCATCCTTCAAGTGGCTTGATCCTGGCTCTGGCCATCTTTCGGACGGTCTTATCCCGGAGATTCTACGATACAGATTCCCAGAGTCCCCATGAAGCGCCAGCTAGGTTTTTATCTTCCCAACCAGGACCTGCTGGCCATCTGCAGCTATTTTCCCCCTGCACAGCTGTTGTTGGATTCGTATGGGGTTCCCACTACTGCAGGGTTCTACATGGGATCCTGCGCAAAATTGGGCTTGAAGGATCTTCAGTTTTTTGCTTTGAGAGCACCCCGCTTCGGACCTGGAAGTGAAGAGATTTCATGCTTCCACACCCAAACTGCAGAAAGGGCGCCTGCCTAATTTTGAAAATGGGATTGCAAGGTTCGAAGGTGTCTCTTTCAGCTCTGCGGTGACAAGGTTTTTGTAGGGTTCCGTACGCAATCCTGCTGTAGCACCCGTGGAGAATCGTGGCAGGGAATTTTGAAAAGTGTGTTGTGATAAGGCTCTACAGGGGACAGTCCCCTCCCAAATAGCTTAATTAAAACAAACACCTATGCAGCGTATGCAGATATACGCATCTAATCATTGCAAACCCAAACACATTTAGCGTTAGAACGCCTAGGGGCTAGCGCTTGGAGATGTGGGAATTCCATAAGTTCAGCCTGAGTTCGACAAAGGCTAGCGGCTAGAGTACGGAAAAGTTTGCCAACACGGGAACACGTAGAGTGATCCTCCCTCCCTCCCTGGACTTGAAAACTGGGTAACGTCCAGGCAAGCCAAATCTTAAATTCCCAAGCCCAAGACCCAAGCCCTGTAAGGCACACATGGATTTCTGAAACGCAACTGCTCCTGCCGGCCAAGCTTCTCAGACTTGCGGGTATGATGGGCGCTGGAGATTATGAGGGCAATCGTCAGGCCTGGGACTACTGGAGTTGAACATATGGCTTGGGGGAGGCAGTTCAGGTTTCCAGGGCTAAAGCTTCTGGGAGAGGCGGCTAGGATTTTCAGAGCTAAAGCGCCATCGAGCTTTTGAAGCTAACTCGGGGAGGGCAGCTCGAGTTTCAGAGCTCAAGCTCTAGAGGAGGTAGATCGGGCTTTCAGAGCTAAAGGTCTGGAGAGGAAGTTCGGGCCTTCAGAGCGCAAGCTTTTGGGGAAGGCAGTTCCGGTTTTCAGAGCTAATGCTTTGGGGAAGGCAGTTCGGGCTTTCAAAGCTGAAATTCTGGGGGAGGCCATCAGGCTTAGAGGGTAGAATTTGAACGGGCTCCACAAGTCGGAGCGTGCTTCACGGCGGGTCTCTGCGGTACTAAGCAGGATCTGAGTTGCAGAGTTTAGGTTGAAAGGGCTGCTGTGCTCCAAACCGTTGTTTCCAGGACAGGGTCAGAAAAGAGGGGGCATCTTTCGAACCGGAGATTCTTCCCTGCGGCTTCACATGGTTTATCACTTAGAGCGTCATGAGATACTACGTTGGAAAAATGCAGCGAGAATTTGCAGGCAGCCCTATAAGCCTCCAACCCTGAACCATCAGGCAACCGTGAAAGTGTTGAGCGTCCTGTTCGAAAACTTGCGGAAGCCTTCAACGCAGGCTGGACTTGTCATGAAGGCATGCAGGTGTATGACCGGGCTTCCAGAAAGATTTCCATACGTGGGAGCTGGGCCTTCGCAATTTTGCGTTCTCCCGGGTGTCCGTCACTTCGATACTTGTTGCTGTTTCCTTGCCCTTCCTTGACTCCTTGGCGAGCTTAGATTAGAGGTTGGCTTGAAGGAGTTATTGTCAAGAATTCAATTGAGCTGCAGACCCATGCATATGACAAGGTGCAAGAATAACCCTTTCCGTTTGGGGTCTAGTATAGATCTCCATGTTTCCTTGCATCCTAAACTCACCGAAGCGAGCAGAAGCAAGGTATATGCCGCTATCACATCTCTTTTTTCGCATTACACCACATTATGATTGCGGGGTGGGGTGGGTTGGGTTGCGGGTGGGTGTGAGGGTGTGGGTGGGTGGGTAGGTGGGTTGGTGGGTAGGTGGGTTGGTGGGTAGGTGGGTTGGTGGGTAGGTGGGTGGGTAGGTCGGAAGGTAGGTCGGCAGAGTGCGCAAAAGCGGTACATGGTGATGCTGGTAGTGGCGCTGTGGGTGTTTGCTGTCGTAGTTGGAGAAGATGAGGAGGATGAGGAAAGCTATGTATAATATACCATGATATACCATAAAATACCACAACATATTATAATCTACTATGAAAGCATTGTGGGCCCTTGAAAGCCAGGCGGATGTTCAGAAAGTCCTGGAGCACATGGCCAATGAAGACCCCCAAAACTGTGAGCTTCTTGCTGATGAGAATGCTTTGGCAGAGGAACTCCAAGCTGCTTAGAATTCCACACCTGGGGTTCAGGGATAATGGAAAAGAAAATGGAAACTACTATCTTATATGTAGGGGTTATATTGGGGCTATAATGGGAAATATATTGGGGTTATATAGGGATATTGGAAAAGAAGCTGGAAACTACTATAGGGTTTAGGATTTCGGGATAATGGAAACCAAAATGGAAACTACTATAGGGTTTAGGGTTTAGGATCAACATCAAGGTGTAATAGAGTTCTGGAAGTTTTTGCAACAACAATGATAAAAGGAGTTGAAAGCTGTTTCTAGATTCCATGTAATTCGTCTTCTGGCACGCAGCTTCAGGATCGACAAGACTTTCAATGACCACCGCTGCCCCCCATTCAGCCAGCAAAGTTCAACAGAGGTGTTAAGTAGGCACTCCTGCGCAATCGGTCTGCGCTAGATTCTAGATTTGAAGTCTCGTCTGCATCACCAGGATTACCTGGGTTTCAATCAGTTCCCCTGACATGAGACGGTCTAGCGTTCCAGGTGGGAACCTCAATTCGAACAGGATTTTCCATGCTCCACGTAGCTCTTAGGACTCCCCCCGACCCCCTGCGATGGGGATGGGAGGTGATCCGGACGGCTGATGGCATTAAGTGCTTTGATTTGGGATGGGATTTCGGGGCTTCGGGTTCGTTGGTCTATCGTGATTTATGGACGTGGGGTGCAGGCACGTCCAAACAGCTCACACTAACATCTCCAGAATGCTTCGAAGATTTTGAAAACCTTTCAGATTGCTTCCGTCCCGGCGTATGGGTCCAGCACACATCACACTTGAACAATTTGTTGCAAAAGAGCACTTCCGTGCCATCTTGCAGTGTGGGGAGCTGGGGTCTTGGCAGGGCTGAGAGCTTCGTTTGGCTGAGGTTGAGTGTGGAGGGCGTGATTTACTGTTGCAGAGCGACATATTACCGTATCAGGCACACATTGCAGTGCAAAGCAAACAAGGCGTCACCCTCCTGGTTGCCTAAGTCTGAAGTCAGTCAAGAAATCAACGGTGGATTTTCACAGCGAGCAGGTACTGCGAAGACACATCGCAACGAAATAAGTTTCCATCTTGACCTGGTACACTGCAGGCCCACTTATGCACAGCCTCGTGGTCTTCTAGTGGCGGGAGCGAACGATCAAGAGCAAACGTCGCCACATTCTCGAGGATAAAAGCTCGGCTGGAAGACAAGCATGTTCGTCTGTGCAAAACAAGCACTTGTTGGACGCACTAAACCCAAAGTCGAAGGTGCCACTCATCTGTAGGAGTGCCTGCCACGTTGCTTTGTTCTGTTGTTGGAACCCGTTTGTAGCAAGGAGCTAGCAAAACTGGGGAGGCTGCGCGTGGTGACTAACACTGGAACCCTCAGGCCAACGAGCTTTGAGGAAAAGCTGCCGCGAGGTCTGTAGAAAGCTGGCCCCAAGCTTGGGGCCGGGGTGATGTCAGGTGGCCCGGACATGAGGGCAACCAGGTGTTACAGATCTTTCAAACCAATCCATGTGCGACAATGGGTGTATGGACCTAGCAATGCACTGCTTCTGCACAGGGGATCCACGAGGTAGCAAGCAACCTCTGACCCGTTTTCTCAGCCGGAGGTGGTTGAGAAGTCGCTGTGGCTGGAAACCCCCGTCCCTCTGAAGCCCTTGAGGGGCATCATCTAGGCCGCATGGCAGGCGAGACCGCACCCCGGAAGAGCCAAAAGGTGGGGAAAGCCATGCAGCACATGCCAGCAGACTGGTAACTGACTCCATGGTCCAGTGTAAATGTACAACACGAGGACAAAAGCGTTGTGCCAAGCCAGCCCAGGGGTTCATACCCATGCGCAGATTGCAATTGGCCACGCGATGCAGCCCGCGTCCTGACACCGGCCGTACATGAGGCTTGCCATATAGTGCATGCATCCGTGGAATCCAAGCAGAGCAAGGAAATCAAGCAAAGCGAACAGCTCAGTAAGCGCGATATATGACCAGACGACTATTACAGATGGGACGCTACGCAGTAATAGAAACAAGTTGAGTCGTGGCGCTTACGGAGACGAGAGGGAGGGGGAGGGGGGAGCGCAAACAAGCAGGGAGTGAGCTACTGACATTTCTAGTTTCACAACACTGGGTATCTCAAACGCTGCCATTACCAGCTAACTTACGCTGATGCCATCTCAGCTGTCAACGCTCTTGTTAGCGCTTGCCACACAGCCAAGCTGTGGAAAGGCAAGTGCCATGGCTCCAAGGCGCGCTTGGTGCAGCACAGATATCATGCCTCGCCGCATTTTGCAGAAAATGGATCGCTCGTCTGAAATGAGGGGGTGCTTGTGATTACCTTGTTTTCTAAGTGTGGGTTATAGAGCGAGGGCTTCAAACATCCCAAGCATGGGCAACTGGTGGCAGGGCAGGCAGGATTACTTCAAATGAAGACTCCAGACATGGGAGTTCCAGCTTGGGATGTTCACCTGGAAAAGATTACATGTACTGAAGTATTCAGGGTTTTACGTGCGAACAAGCCATGAAGCTTTTTGTGTTTGATGCGTTGGGGCACCTGGACCCCTAAGAAAAAGACAAAGACTGGAACCCCCCATGTTATGGAATTGCAGTTTAGCATAAACCAACACGCAGAGGGCCCGTAAAGGCTTGCCGTGTCACAGCTTTTGGTATGACTCATTTTGTTCGGGATCGTGGGGGCACCCAGCAGAGTGTTTATGCTCTGTTTGATGTGATTCGTTGATTTGAGGATGAGAGCCTCACATGCCTTTGTTATATGTGCTGCAGTCTAAACATAGGGCATTGCATAGGGGACTGCTATAGGGCTTATTAAAGAGGACTTTAGGAGTTTAAACTATAGCTCATGTGAATTAGGTGAACCCACGCTTCTCGATATTTGTGTCATGTACGACTAATTTCTATTTGCCAGCCTTGCTACAAAGGCCTTGCAGTACCAAACGGTTGCGTGCCCTGATCCAGAAATGCCAAAAGTTCCCATGCAAAGTCTCGAGGTGGAGTTCAACTATAGGGTTATATAGGGGTTATATAGGGGTAATGGAAAAGAAAATGGAAGCTACTAAATAATAGGGTTATAGGGGCTATATTGGGGGGAAGACCAGTCTTTCCTCAGAAAGCTGTGATTTTGAATCAAACTTACGCAAAGCTCCCATGAAGTTGTCTGTAGCATGCCGCCAAGCAGAGTAGAGACTTATCGATGTCAGCAGCCCAATTTGACAGCAGGTTGACTGCGATGTAAGCCCACACAACCCCATAGAAAGCTAAATCGGTATAATAAGGCTCAGACATGCTCGAAGCCTAGGTTGCCATGTGTTTCCTTTATGCCTAAAAAGCCCCAGCCCTAACATGTGCTTGCGCAACCCTGGTCTAGATAGTAGTCCCGAGGTCACTGAAGCTACTTGTGGAGGAGTCCCGGCGGCTCTCAGCACGTATGGCTCGTGAGGCTGGGAGAGGTGTTGATCCAGAACCAAACTCCTTAAACGGGAGTTATACCATATCATCGTAGGGACTTGCCGGAGGTTGAAAGCTGAAGACCTAAATGCGCGGGTTCGCAGGCGGAGCTACGTGAGATCGCGGCAGCAGAGTTGGCAAAGGCACCCTCGCGTTGAATTCAGTTTGTGCGTTGAACTGACGGGTGACACCAAGAAGAGGAAGAGCCCCAAACCTAAAATGAATACAAAAGAAGCTTGAATGACTACCACATTGGCCCCTTCACTCCCTTTGTAGCCATATAGCTCCATGCACCCAAAACCTAATATTAATTGGTCAGGCCCCCACAGTAGATTGTTCAGCCTCAATAGTGGTTTCCATTTTATTGTCCATTACCCCCAATATAGCCCCTATAACCCTATAATATAGCAGCTTCCATTTTCTTTTCCATTATCCCTATATAACCCCTATATAACCCTATATAAACCATTATAGTAGCTTCCATTTTCTTTTCCATTATCCCTATATAACCCCAAAATAAACCCTATAATCCCTATATAACCCAAATATAATCCCTGTAGCTTCCATTTTCTTTTCCATTATCCCTATATAAACCCAACATAAACCCTATAATCCCTATATAACCCCATTGTAGTAGTTTCCATTTTCTTTTCCATTATCCCTATATAACCCCTATAGCTATCCCGTTGCAAAGCAAGGCTGAAGGTACGGCTGGGTCTCGGGGCTGCACGGTGAAAGCTCAGCTTAAGAGCTCAAGGTATAGGGGTTATATAGGGGGCATATAGGGATAATGGAAAAGAAAATGGAAGCTACTATATTATAGGGTTATATAGGGGCTATATTGGGGGTAATGGACAATAAAATGGAAATCAGTGTTCTGACTGAATAGTAATTAAGGCTAAACAGCTGAGCGTTTCTTAGAGAGTTATGTCGGGGTCTTAGTATGCCGTGGGTTAGCTTTAAGTGGAGGGAGGCCTGATGTCAGACAGGTGGGGTTAGTTTGAGGACCCAACGTAGGACCCTTCAGTTGCGTTTGATCCGATTTTGCAGATGCAGGAACCAGGCAACCTCGATGCGAAACCCGCTCTGAACTTGAACTGAGCCAAGATGAGAGGTTCCCAAAAGTAGGGGATATTATTTTAAGGGTCCCCATCATAAGGACTATAGTGCTATAGTATTTGGAGGTCTATATTGGGGTCCCCCCGATTTTGGAAAACTACCAGATGTTCTTACAGCATGCCGGGCTTGTATTCCCCATGCAGAGCAGAGCTCAAAGCAAAGCCTCACACCAGCAACACAGCTACATCAAATCTTATGAACCGCACGACGCTCTAGAACTGGGAAGAGTCCTTTTTCTAAAGGAGGACTCGAAAAAGAGAACTGCAGCAAGCCTTGCAAACACCAAAATTCCAGAGTTTTTCTGATTTCCGTAGACCTCATAATTGTTTTTTAAAGCAACGTTGCCAACCACAAAATTGTTGGTCCGTTTTCTGGCTATCCTTATGAGCAGGCATCAAGGAAGGATCCTGATGCGTATTCTCCACCGCCCTACCCTA